GAACACATACAAAGTCTTCACAAGAATAGGATTCAGGGGCTGGGGATTTAGCTCAGTGGCACAGCGCCTGCCTGGCAAGAGCAAGGTTGTGAACTTGATTCCCAGTACTGGAAAACAAACAAACAAAAAAAACAAGAATAGGATGCAGTGAATTAGCAAAAAGACCACACATATATCATGAACAAGTAGATTTATCCCAAAGATGCAGGGATGGCTCAACATACTCAAATCAATAAATATAATACATCATATAAACAGAAGCAAGGAAAAAAGATCATATGATCATCTCAACTGATGCAGAAAAGGCTTTTGACAAAAGTCCAACATCCATTCATGATAAAACAAACACACATCTTAGAGAAAATAGGTACAGACAGACCTCATCTTAATCTGATTTAAGTCACATAGGAAAAACCAATGGCTGACATCGTATTAAATGGAGAAATTTGAAAGCTTTTCCTCTAAAACCAGGAATAGACAAAGACGTCCATTATCACCACTCCTGTTCATGTAGTTCTGGAACTATTAGCCAGAGCACTCGGGCAAGAAAGAAATAAAGGGAATGTGTGTAGGAAAGGAAGAGTCAAATTACTAATTGTAGATGACAAGATTCTCTCCATAGAAGACTCAAAAAATTCCACCAAAAAACTTCCATAATTAAAAATCAAATTCCCTATAATCCCAGAACTCAGGAGGGTGAGGCAGGAGAATTGCCATGAGTTTGAGGGCCGCATGGGTTACATACTGAGTTCAAGACCAGCCTGAACTGCATAGTGAGATGCTGTCTCAAAAAACCAAATAAATAAATACTGTTCCTATATACCAATAATAAACTTACCAAGAAAGAAATTAGGAAATCAAAATTATTCACAATAGCATCAAAAGGGCCAGGAATACAGCTCAGCAGCAGAAGCACCTGCCTGGCAAACACAAGGTCCTGAATTCAATTCCTGGTACCAATAAAAACCACACAAAAAAATAGCATCAAGAAAAATTAAATACTTAGGAATAAACCTAACCAAGGAAGTGAAAGACCTCTACAATGAAAACTATAGTACTCTGGGCAAGGCAATGGAAGAGGACATAAGAAAATAGAAAGACATCCCCTCTTTCTGGATAGGAAAAACCAATATTGTCAAAAGGCTCATATTCTAAAACTGATATATAAATTTAGTGGAATCCCAATCTAAATACTAACAGCATTCCTGACAATCTATAGGAAACGATCCTAAAATTCATAAGGAACCAAAAGAGACCTAAAACAGCAAAAGCAATCCTGAGCAACAAGAGCTAAGTAGGAGGCATCATAGTCAGAGACTGCAAGTTATAGTATAAAGCCATTGTGATAAAAAATGGTTCGGCACTATGCCAAATAATAGAGGCAAATAATGCACCAAATAATTATAGCAAATAAAGAGGCATGTGACTCAGTGAAACAGAACAGATGATGCAGAAACAACTCCAGGCACATTCAGCTACCTGGTATTTAACAAAGGGGCCAAAAACACGCTTTGGAGGAAAGACAGCCTCTATAACAATGCTGGGAAAATTGGCTATCTACATGCAGAAGCTCAAATCCAGACCCCTGTGTATCTCGGCATGTACTAAAATAAAATCAAATGCATCAAAGACCTAAATGCTAAAACAGAAACACTTAATCTTCTAGAAGATAAAATAGGTAAAACTCTTCAAGACACAGATGTATGGGATCACATCAAATTAAAAAGCTTCTCCCCAGCAAAGGAAACTACCAACAGAGTGAAGAAACAACCCACATAATGAGGGGAAAATAATTGCCAGCTATTCCTCAGAGAGGACTAATATTTAGAATATATAAAGAATTTTAAAAATTAGAAACCTCTTAGGGGCTGGGGATTTAGCTCAGCGGCAAAAGCGCCTGCCTGGCAAGCGCAAGGTCGTGAGTTCGGTTCCCGGTACCGGAGAAAAACCAAA